AGCAGGGGTGCCTGGGCAGGTCCCCTGGGAGCACACCCCGCTCGGCAGCATCACCGCCCGTTGCACAATTTGCTTTTGGACCCAACCCCCTGCCTCCGAGGGACACTTGCCTGGTGTGACCCAGCCCAGGGTGACACCGAAGCGAATGCAATCCTGAGCAGCGCCAACGGGGTGGCCCCAGCCCCGGGAGCCTGCTCACTCAGGGGTGTTTTGTTGATTTTTTTTTTTTTTTTATTTTTAAGCCTACATTTGATGGATTTACTACTTAATTACCGAGAACTGCTCTTCTGTCACACAGTGAGCTGCACGTTTTTCACGTAGCTGTACTTACAGGGAGATGCTGGCAATTAAATTTGCAGATCAAGAATTTTTTTTAAGCAATCCAGATTAATCTGGAAGTGATCGCAAGCTGCTGATATTTCCTAAGTGTTATCTGCGAGTGGTCAGTACTAGGATTAGCACACAGTCAGTGAGCTTCCTTTGCTAAGCCCATCTAACGAGACAATAGAGAGACGCACAGGACAAAAATAAAATGGGGGAAAAGAGACAAAAAGAAAGAGGAAGAAATGAGGAATATCGGGAAAAGATACCAAGCCACAACTGGCATCATCCACTGAGTGATCCAAGAGACACCCTTGAGTTTGCAGCACTGCAATACCCAGGACAGGTCCAAACCCCCCAGTGAGTAACCCGCAGACCAAAAGGTGAGTAAACCCTCCTGTACTCAACACTCAAACGAGCCAAATTTGCAGGGTTTGGAATATCGAGAGCTCAGCACTGTCTCAGGCAGGCAGGACGATGCTCCGCTGCATCCCACCCTACTCTTGCTGCAGAGCCCACGGGCAGCATGATTGCTTCGTGCGGAGTTTGCTGGGACGTGGGAGCATCCTTCTCCCAGCATCCGAACCCATCCTTCTCCCAGCATCCGAACCCATCCTTCTGCCAGCATCCAAACCCACCCTGTGCTGGGGGATCCTGGGGGGCTGCCTGGGCCACAGCACCCAGGGAGGAGAACCCCCCCTGTGACAGCGACCACATGCCGAAGAGCAGCCGCATGCCAGAGACACCCCAAAATACAGAGACACCCCGAAATAGGAGGAAGGAGTAACGCCGGCGGGTTCACGGCGCTTGTGCAAACAGGAACGGCGCGTTCTGCAGAGCCAGGAGCGTGCTGGCGCAATGACAGCCCCCAGGCTTTACAACCACGGCTTCGGGGAGGTGCCGCCGCGGACGCAATGAACCCCAACCCAGCCAGAGCTGGAGCACGGCATGTATGGCTGGAACGCCCCCCGGCGGCCCCGCCCGTTGTCCCGGATTGCCTGGTGCCGTTCAGGAGCACAGCAGCACGCACGCCAGGCTGCCGGCACTGCGGGACTGATGCAATCGAACGCCGGGGTTCCTCCTCCGCAGAGCTGTGACACACAGACATAAACACACCCCTGCACATGTAAACACGCCGTCCCGCACGCAGCACCCGGCCGATCGGCGCCTTTGGCAGGACCATGCCCGTGTTTAACCCCAAACCCACGCTGAGATGTTGGGGGCACAGCAGCCCGCCCCTTTTTCCAGGTGAGATCCCAAAACACCCGGTCAAACAAGGTGCTGGAGGTGGGGATCTTCCTGCCAGGCGCACAGCGTACAAAATCACCTCTTGAACTTTCCAAAATTAAAGCTAATTCAATTCCTTTGCTTTTTTGACCATCAAACTCTCCCAGTGCCAGCTCCCCTCCCAACCCCAAAGCCCCCTTCTTCCTCTTCCTGAGCTTAAGGCTCCCGTTGTTCCGACACAGCCTGGAATTGAACAGCTTCATTAGCAATACTCATTAACGAGTTTGCTGCAGCGATCCCAGCAGCAGCTTACCTGGAGTAGCAGGACAGGCTGGTGCTGACGACGGAGTTAAACACGGCCGCGGGGACGTAGCAGCGGTGGAAGGTGCTGTCGACCCATTCCTCCGGGAAGATGTACGCCGAGTACGCCAGCGCGGACCCTGGGATGTGGGAGGTGCTGGGTCGGTGCCAGGTCCCACCGGGACCCTCGGTGTCCCCCCTGGGCACAGCCCTGAGCCTTCAGATGGGCGCTGGGCATCAGGCGCTCACGGGAAAGGGAGACGGGGATGAAGGGAGAGGAGCAGCTGGGGAGCTACGGGGGGC